ATGCTTTTGTGCTATTTAACATATATGGGTTTTACTTTATTTTTTATACAGGATGAGGTTAGAATATTAAATATCCCCATCGTTCTAAGTACTTTTAAAGCACATCACTGAATATTATTTCTTCCATCTTGAAATGTTAATTTCACTAAATACCTAATTCTTTAAAATAATAGTAATTTCTGTGTGATCTAATTATTCTGAGCTTTTGAAATATCTTTTTATACTTCAGGATCAAAGTCTTTTAATTATGCAAGTTTTGTAATATGTTTAATTATGTAACAAGACCAATTTTATCCTATCCCACACATAGATATGAAGACCTGAGTTCTGAGTCCAATCTACGATGCCATTTAACTGAATCATATAAAGAACAATTAATTGGAAGACTTCATCTTGGCTAGAGGACTTAAATAGAAAAGGAAAGGAAAAGAGAGGACAGAGAGGTATTCAAATTTGTCATAAGCGCATTAGGTTAAATGGAGGAAAGCAGGAACATAGAGAAGAAAGACGAGATGTAAGTCCAAGAATCAGAAGTTTACTCAGAGTAAACTACAAAAGTCAAAGATAGTAGCATGGCTTTAACATTGGCAAATGAAGAGCAATTCAAAATGCTGAGAACACCTGACACTGATTTTGCACCTGCTGCTTATTTTTAAGAAGTTCACTTTTGTTTGTACCTGTTCATTTTTCCAGTTAAACATTAGAATCCTGGCTTTTCCAATCTATTTGCCAAACAGATTTCTCAATAACTTAACCTTTCTCACTCTCTGTGTTCTTATATACAAGATAGGAATAGTCAAGTCTCCCTTAGGGATCCTTGGGTATAAAAACACAAATCCTAGGAATTGGTAATTACAACCCAAACTACTCCAACATGGGAGTACATCTTTCCAATTTCATTGTTATTTTTTGAACTACACAAATAAGCCTGAATCTTAATCAAAATGATATGAGTAACTGAATTAGTTAAAAAGGGTGAAGAATTAATTTTCCCTGAATCCTTTATGTTTAAGATTATAATCCCTTCTTCTCTCCAATGCCTACTTCCATTGCTAGTCCATATTGCAGAGATCAGTGGCCAAATCCAGAGCCATGATGCTACCCAGTATAGACAACCCTCAGAGAATTAATTGTTTCACTTGCTTGGACTTGCCGATGAGTAACTCACAGGGGCCATTTTGAATAAAAATTTTCTGGAAATGTCAAAACTTTAAAACTAAGCCTAAGACACTATTGGTGTTGCCTGAGTCAGGAATCCCAGGTCCTCCTCCTCATCAGGACTTCAGCCCCTGGGTTTCCTCTCTTGACTTCTCTGCATGGTTCTCAAGTCAAGCTACTCATTTCCCACTGGCATGGAAAGAAGAGGCACAGGATGAGAAGCTAGTCAGTGTAATGACTGTGGTATTCCTCTTCTAACTGTATTGTTTTCATTAAAAATAAAGAGAGCACTTTTAGGTTTGTTTTCATCAAAGCTATAAGGAGAAAAACTCACCTGGATTATTTACAGGGGAAGAGGGAGATCAGTGGTTCTGTGGACAGCTGAAGCCCACAGTGATGAGAGTCTGTGCAGAGGGTCCTGGGAGATCCTCTTGTGGGTGACGATGGCCCTGTAGTTATGGAATGTAACTAGGAAGGCAAGTTGTCATTTATCACAATGAATACTCCTGGATTCATCACAATGAATAAACTCTAAACCCTTGAGTGAGTCCTGGCCACTGTGGAAATGGAAGTGAAAAGTACAGGGCTTGACCATCAAGTTCATTATTATAACTTTTGGCTTAACTTCAGATCAAGTTCTTCTCCTACAAACACAAGTACCCTGATGGAGGATTCATGCCAAAGCTCCACTTATCTGTTTAGACAACAATGTTGCAGAGCATATTTTAGAAATAGTTTAGAATGGTTACCAACAAATGTTGTTCTTCACGTATTAGCGAATGTTCTAATACAGACTCAGAACTGTGCCAGATCAACACACCAAATGCTTTTCTCCTGCTGACAGGGAGTGATGTTGTTTCGTTCTGGATCACAGTTTAAAATTTGAGGCCTAATTTTACCTTTTAAATAATAGGGTCTGGGTATGGGGAGTAGGGTTTTCTCTTTCTGATCTAATAGTCATTTGAACAGTCAAAACTTAAAGGACAAAATAACAAATACATTTTTATTAATGTGAACTGATCCTGTAAAGGAAAACATTAGTCACTTTTATTCTGTGTCTAAGATTTTCTATGTGTAACAAGAAGAATATAACATCATTCTTATAAACATAGAGGTTTACTTAGTTAACACATTACTATGTGAAGAATGAGAAATAGGGCTGGGGATATGGCTCAGTTGGTAGGTTGCTTGCCTTGCATGCACCAAGTCCTGGGTTCAGTCCCGCAGCATCACCAAAACAAAACAAAAACGAATGAGAAACAATTTTTCTTTATGAGAAAAGATTAAAATGACTGATAGTAAACAAACACAAGACATATATAACCAAAATGATCTAAACAATTTAAGAAGGAATGCAAAATCTATCAAAGTGATCAATGATAAAATTGATAATATAGTATGTTTACTCACACTGAGGACTGAATCATTTGGTCATGTCTTGAAATGTATGCATTCTTGGCAATAAGTTTTATATTAGCAAACAGGTTGTGTTGGAAGCCTATGTTCTTTTAATGAAAGTTTTACTCTAAACTGATGATCTTCTACAGCAGAGGTAGTTTTTTATTCTATTGAGCTCTAATAGGGGATATATTTGAGTAAAATGCTACTGCATCTGAAAAATTTTATGAGATTTTTGCATTTAAAAAAAAATGTTTCCATTCTGTTTTCATGGATGTTGGATGTTACCTTGTAAACACTTTGGAAAAGAAAAGATTTTATTTCAAACATGAAAGTATTTATTGAGTACCTACTATGTGACACTCAATGTGCTAAATGCTATTACATACCCCACTTGATCTGAATGAACAATAGGACATGTTTACAAGTGAAAAGACATGGACAAATGTGTCTAATTGTGCCTTTTCAAAGATGCGATGGGGCAGTAATGTATTTGAGTTCTGAACTAATCAATCACCTGAGAACATAAGGCGAATTTTGATTAGTCTCATGCTCAGAAACCTCTTTCAGAATTTGCAAGCTTTACTATATATTGGAATTCCAAATATCATGCTGCTTTTCCTACCTTTGTTCTTCTGCACTGATAGTTTTTAAAATGAAAGCCCTAATCTGTATTATATAGGATCATTAATTTCTGCATTTTACACTTGAGCAACAGCACTCTGATTATCTGCTGCAATGAAAGGTAAGCAGCACTGCTTTTGCAGACTTAATTACCTACTGCAGGGCCTTTCTTCTCACGTTACCACAAACAGTCTGGAAATGGGGTCAAAAGCATGATTAGAAACCAAATTAGCCACTGAATCCAGAAAACAAACATGGAAACAGATCCAATAAGCCTCTGTGATACAAAAATCAGTTTCCTCTCACACCTGAGTTTATCCAGAGGGTCAATCTCATGTTCCTTCCAAGAACAAGGATATGTAGCAAAAAGATCTTCAGTAACTTTTAGATCTGAGAAATCAAATGAACTTAAGACATGGGAGGGGCATGGCCAGTCAGTCTAGACAACAGAATCTTTTAAAATGTTTAATTTATGGGTTATATAAATGCCAGTAAAATGCCCACATAGTTTTAAAAGAGAAATCAATTTTCAGAATTTAGCTTTTAAAAAAAAGGCAGAAAATATGCCATGTGTTGGTTTGTCAATTATTTTTATTATGTTTAAAAAATTATCTTTGGTCCATATTATTTTTGTATCTGTTCTTTAATTATTTCATTATTTACCTTTTTATGTGTACTTTATAAAGCCCTGTTAATTGATACAACAAATCTTACATATTTTGTGTTTTTACTTAATCATACCCAGGTTCTTATCACAACCCTAAGGTGGCAAGAGAATTTAGAGGCATTTGCTAGCTACATGGAAAACAAAGATGTCTCCTACATGCAGATCTTTCTTCTCAGGGCATTTAATAGACAGTAATACAATTTTATACCAACAGTGAAATGCTGATCAATTTACATGCACAGAGATAATAGTGTTTACTTACACTATTGATAGGAACAATAAGATGATGATCTAACTTTTTAAAGATCATGGAGCAAGACAGCTATTGTATGAAAAAAATGCATAAAAGGCAACAGGGAAGCAAAGGAAAATGCAAGAAAATGTATTTAAGGAAAATACAAGAAAATGTCAGTAAAATTTACAATCAACATTAAGAGATCATTCAGTTCTGGTTGTAGTTTGCTAACCTGAATATATTGCACACAATTAAATGCAATTAGTCATGGCAGCTAAAGCTTAAAATATCAAATTGAATTTTTTTGTATAGGATGAATGTTTTAAAAAGTTATTGTTTAAGAAGATTTACCCATCAGTAAATAGTCTTGACTAAATCATCTGGCTCTACTTAAAATTTTTACTTATGTATTTCAGCAGCTATATTCCTGTACCATACACAGTCTCCACCATCACTAGCTCTATGAGTTACCTAAAACTCACCATTAAAAATATGGGAAAACCTAGATTTACTTAGAATAACTATTCCTTCTCTATACATTTCATTTTGTTTATCTAATCTGTTTAATCCAGTCATAATCAAGATGGAAAAGATTTTGCTCCCTAATGAAAATACCAGATCTCCTTTAACTAAAGAAAGGGTTGGACAATTATATAGTGACTATATGTGAAACATACAGAATAGGCGGAACAAGTCAGATCACAAATCTCTTCCTTTAATCAAAGTTCTTTCATTCTTTTCTTTTGTGGAATGTATATAGGGTTAGGGGAAGTTATTTTTTTTCAACGTGAATTGTCCAATAATTGGGCGGATGCTTCCATTTTATAACTGTAGCCCTGAGTAAAGTAAAAACTGCAAGCTCACTGAATTATTTTTGAAACAACCTTAGAGATGACCTATGATTTTCTGACTTTTCAGAGGATACCAGTAAGACATAATGTCCAGGTATTATTGAACTGAGGATATTTTCAAGAAGAAAATGATCTCATTGTTACTTGCTCATTTTTCTAGAGCTATTTTCTCTCATCAACAGACCATTGTCCGGTGAGTATAATTTTGGAGCAAAGGAGCTTTATTGCCTATCCATGTTGAATAAACCTCTGCTACCTGCCTATTCTTATTTTGAGGAATAGTGGCACAAAAATTCAATCAGTTGATCAATATTTATTGTCTGCAGAGATGATTTATGTTTGGAGGATGTAAAAGATATAAAAGACCTCAAAAAAAAAAAAAACCTCCGATTCTAGTTGAAAGACTTAAAATGGTAACATTTGTAACACTAAATGCATTCAATAAGAGTGAGCAGTGGCGCTTTAGCAAAAGTATAAGTTTTGGAATTAAGTCCAGGAGAAATTGAATTTATCCTTTCCTTATGTGATACATGCTACCTTACACAAAAGAGAGGTTTGAGAGACTCAGTATTCTCACCTATATAATGAGGATAGAATTATCCAATTCAAAGTGATTTCGAGAAGATTGGAAATACTGCATTTTTACCACCTGGCATATGATATGTGCCAAGCACATGGTTGCTAATTATGATTATGATTGATTGCTCCCAGCAATCCTGTGTATAAAGCACATTGTATATAATGCACTTGCATGTGTTCTAGAAGCTATATATAAGGTGTTTTGGAAGGCAGAGAGAATGAGGCAGAAATGACACAGAAATTGTAGAAATCTCAACAAGTGGTGCTGAGGAAGCCAAGCAGTTATTTTGGAAAAAGAATTAAAAAGCAAGATTTTTGTAGACAACATGAAGAATGATGCTTACCAATGATTTAGATATAGATACAAAGAGACTAGAAATACAAAATAAGCAGTATCCAACAATGTAAAATTGACAATGTTTGGCATTCAATCAAAGAATATCTTGCAAAGAAGTGGGAAAACAGTCCATAAAAAGGAAAAGGAAGTCTCCTCAGAATGGATATATTTGTTGGAATTAGCAAGATTCTGGATATTATTCAGATTAAATAATAAATTGCATTTCTAAATATGCCAAGGGATACTTAGGAAATGAAGTTTAAGGAAAAAATATGTTTTGAAAGCATGGGAATAGATCTAATAAAAGATTATTATATCAGAAACTAAAAATATTAAAGAATATCTAAATTGACTGAAGACTCTACTATGTATCGTGCATATTTATTAGAATATTCAGGAGCAATTTCTCCCTGAATTGATCTATAGATTTAATGCATTTTTAAATAAAAAAATTGGTAGACTAATTCTAAAATTAATAGAGAAACACAAAGGACAAACTATTTAACTTGCTGTGATGAAGATGAACAAGATGCCATAACTTGCTTTACCATATGTCAAGAGTATAGTTATTAAATGATTATATTAATACAGAGACAGCATACATAGCCCTGGAGGAAAACAGAAAGCTGAAAATTACAGCCAGAAATATATGAAAACTTAATTTATATCAAAGGTAGAATTGCAATGTGGTGGAAATAGGAAAATCATTTAAATGATGTTGTTCCAATTAGTTGTCCACATGGGTAAATCATTAATTCCAATCCCCATCTCACAATATATACAAAAACTAATTTCAGGAGAATATTTACATAAAAGTCAAAATAATAAAGCTTCTTAAATATACCATAATCATCATTAACAGTGGGTAAGAAAGCATTTTTTAAATGAGACATTATTCACAAAAGAAATATAATGAATAAGAGTATGTTAAAATTAGAAATTTATATTCACAAGTAAATGAAAAAGCAAATAACAAGGTAGAAATTTTAGCACATAATTCAGAGACTGATATCTAAGGTACATAATCTTTTTCAAGTTATTAATAAAAGGTCACACAATGAAATAATATACAAAAGACTTGTAAACTGGCACTCCACCAAAGAAGATATCCAAATGGAAAATGAATAGATGAAAAATGTTCAGCTACATTTATTATTAGGGAAATATGATTTAAAAGCACAAAGAGATATCACTACACACCTTCTAAAATACCTAAAATTAGAAAGATGACATTAAAAACATTGGTGGAGATGTGGAACAACTGATAATCTCACACACTAGTAGTGGTGATATGAACTGATACAATAATTTAGAAGAACTATTGAAAGAATCTTAAAATTTAACATATGTATATCTTAGAAGTCAGCAGTTGTGACCTGTATTGTATGTGCAACAGAAATGGGTGGAAATGTTTAGCAAGAAATATGTACAAAAATATTCAGAAAAGATAGTTGTTAATAGAAATACACTCAACAGTAGCATAAATAAATGTATTACTTTATGGAACAGAACTAAGTAATGAAATGAATGAAATTTGTCCACTATAATAACATGGTTGAATTTTACAAACATCCCAATGAGTGAAAGAAGCAAGGCAGAAAAAAGTATTTATTCTTGTTATGTGTATGCCCCTCCAATATTCATATGTTGGCATTTAAGATCTCAAGTGATGAAACTAAGAGGAATAGCTTTGGGAGGAGAATAGGTATTGTGGGCCCCACCAGCATCATGGGCTCCATACAAACAGGGGCCATCTTGGAAGCAGAGATCCGCTTTCTCCAGATATCAAATCTGATGGTGCCTTGATCTTGGACTTTCTAGTCTCCAGAACAGTACAAAATAAATTTCAGTTTTTTTATAAATTACCCAGTGTCAGTTACATTGTTATAGAAGAATGAATGGACTAAGATAATACTATATAATTTTAACTATATATAGTCCAAAGCAAGTAAAAGCTCACTACTATAAGTATGAGGGAAAAAAGAATCTATTACCTATGGCCAGGCAAAGTCCCATGTGAAAGGATTAGAGGAAACACTACTCCAATCTGACACAGGGCAAGGAATCAGGACCATTCACATCAATCAGATGAGATAAACTCATAATTCACAGGGATTTGGGTGGAGTACCCAGAATTTTGTCTCAATACAAAATACTTAACCAGGAATGCTTAACCATAGACTTTACTCTGAACATGCCTACAGGATCACGAAAGCAAGAACCTAAAGGCTAAAACTTTAAATAACATAACTGCCTCTCAGAACAAAACTCAAGACATTTTTTTTTTAAAATACAAAACTTCCTACACCCAACAGTGTAAGATTCATAATGTCTGGCATCCAATTAAAGATTACAGGCATGCAAAAGAGTGGGAAAACACAACCAATAATGAGAATGATCAATGAATCAAAGCTGTCCCAGAACTGACACAGATGTTCAAATTAGAGGCAAATTACATAAAAAGAGATATTATAACTGTATTCCAGTGATCGTGTAAGACAACATCAAGGAAACTAACACATATGTAGTTCCAGTTTCTGAAGAAGAGAGAATGGAAAAATTTTGAAGAAATATTTGAAGGAAAAAAAAAGTAGCTGAAAACTCTCCACACTCAATGAAAACTATAAACCCACATATCCAAAAAGCTCAATGACTCCAAAACAAAAGATACACAGAGGAAACTATATTAAGGAACATCGTGATCAAATTGCTCAAAGCACATTACAAACAAAATTTGAAAAGCAGCCAGAGGCAAAATGATTACTATACACAGAACAAAAAAAGATGGATAACAACAAATTTCCTGTGGAACCAAGCAATCTTTGAACTGGAACAAGATTTTAAAGTACTAATAGAATAAAACTGTCCTAGATACTGAAAGTGTATACATATCATACATATAGATATTTCCATTTTCCCAAAATAAACAGCATACTTCCCAACCCTGCCATTTCCACCCAAACCATTAATCTTATTTCAGTCTCTCAAGATTTACCTATACTGAACATTTTATTTAAATGGAATCATGTACTATTTGTTCTATGTCAAGCTTTATTCACTTAGCATAATATTTTCAATGTTCACTCATGTAGCATTCATCAATAGTCCATTCTTTGTTTCCCTAGTAACAAATGATATGTATATAGCATCTTATGTTGTGCTTATTGGCCATTCATACATGTTCCTTGGAGAAATGTCTATTCATGCCTGTGCCCATTTTTAAGTTGAGTTGCTTGGTTTTCACTGTGGCATTGTGTCAGAATTCTTTAAGTATAATAATGCTAAGCCTTTATTACATATGTGATTTACAAATGCATAATTCTATTCAGTGGCTTATTGTCTGGTAATGTTCTTTGAAGTACAAGTCTTATTTAATTTTCTATTGTAAAGTTTGCCTGGTATTTTTCTTGCTCATGTTTCAATGTAAAATTCCCTTTAAAAATGAATATATTTTTATACACATAGAGGATCAACAGTAGATTCGACCTTCAAAAATATTTGAAGTTCTTTAGGCAGAATGAAAATGACATTTGAAGGAAACATGGATCCACACAAGGCAACAAAGACCAGAAATGGTCCTAGTATGTATGACCATACAATGTTTTAGCCTAATAATTCAAATTCTACAAAATTAACTGCATAAAATAATGACAATAATTTATTATGAGGCTTATAATGCATGTATAAACAAAATATATAATAACAACAGGTTATAAAACAGTAGAAAAGGAAAAATATAATGTTTGTATATGAAGTGGTATAAGCCACTTAAAGACAGACTGTGCCAAGCTAAAGCAAACACTAGTTTCAAAGCAGGGCTATAGCTGATAGTCTGTCAAAGAAAATACATGAAATAATAAGAAATAAACAGTTATAATGAAGACAGGAAAAGTAAAAAGGGAAATAAAGAAAAGATGGGTGCCGCAGTCTGGCTGGGCACAATTCAGGAGCCACTTGTCAAAAGAAACTAACTTTATTTTTAGAACTACAAACGCCAAACAAAACAGCTCCTCCGGAAAAAACCCTCAGAGCCCAACTGCCATCACCGGCTTCCCACAAGCCTCTCACCCCCACCCCAGCCTCACCACCTCCTACAATCCTCCTGCTCTTGAGGCCGATTGGCTAGGGCACATGGGCGGAGCCAAAGAAGTCCCCCAATGAGCAGCTCCGTGGTCTGAAAGGGCAGGGAAACAGCCCAATGAACATCACCGCAGAAGAGCCAATCAGCTAGAGGTTGCTGGGGCCGCTGTGAGCCAATCATCAGCCGGCAGCTGGAA